CACGGCGGATGGACCGTAGCATAATCCCGTACGTGTTTTCCGCTACCTGGCGGACTATGAAACCAGCGTCTTTGTAAAAGAGGGAAAATGCAGTTGGGAGCAGTTTCTCTTTTCCCATCATAGACAACAGTGGCTGCTTTGCTTTCCAGACGCCAAGGACGATACCAGTCAAGATCCGCCCCCGCCACATGTTCCGCGAGCCAGCCACTATCGACATCGCAGCGCCCACTCACCTCCTGCTTCAAGTCATGCCGTTTCTAGAGACCCATATAGTCAGCAGTCACCACGTATTGGTAGTTAGAGCGCTTCGGGGAGTCTCTACTCTTTCTCCAATACTCGCGGCGCAAGCCGCCAATACCCACACGAACACCAATATTAGCGGCTTGATCGCGGGGCGGCGGATCTGCTGGTTGCTGCACTACACTTCTCGTAGCGGGGCTAGGTACCCCCGTAGGAATAGAAACGCCTCGGGTGGCTCGCGTGCAGTCCAAAACCCCACGGGGACTATGCCGAGAAGTATACGCCGATATTTCGCGGGGTTGGGGGAGTGAGAGAGTTGTTTAGAACATTTGACCAGAGTATCACAACCACGCTAACCAACTTCCGACATACACTGAGAGAAATCTGACAAGAACCGAACATAGCGCTGCCAGCACCTGCCCCTCTTCGCTCGTCGCGGCAATGCACAGGTTAGAACCCCTGCTTGTCCCGGTCGGGCGCTGAAAGGCGGTGGGGCCGGTATGGAAGCCTCATCTCTCGGTGTTGGTGAATACTTCCATGATTCGAATCTTCTGCGCTATAGCTTCCCCGACAGCTAGCCCTCAGTGGATACTATTGGCCTCCGATGGTGCAGGTAGAAGGACCACAGCCTCCCACAAGACACTAAAGGTCAGCGGCGGGACGTCAAATATTCTCTTGGACTCTGTGGTTTCCCCGTCTGTTAGCCAGCTGATTCAGCTCTACCACCCTCCACCGGGTATAAATGAGTTTACCTTACCCCTTGCCATCCGGGTTTGCTCACTCCTGATGATTTCCGATCCGAAAAAAACTTTAAGTGCAGGGCGAAACCGTTGAACGTCTGCGGATTGGTTTAGATCACACGTCCCAACTAGAGAACAACACGGGCGGAGCAAAATAAGTAACGGAATAGACCACCAGAGGGCTGTAGGAAAGGAAAGGGTCGCGGTGGCTGCCTTGGGTTAAATATATAGGAGCTGACTAACCAATTAGGAAAATTTGAGGCGAGGGTTTACACTCCCATAGGCCCATCAGAGCCCACCGACACGTATGCGCATAGAATTGCAGCCTGCAGCCTACTGACTTATCTCACACGCGAAAAAGAAAAAAAGGACGTGTGGGTATCCATACCGGCAAGCCTAGCTCATTCTACAACGGCGCAGCCGAGACTCAGCCCGGGCTGTTCTCAATAACAGATTTGCTTCCAAGGAATCTCCCGGAAGTTTGCTCAATACTTGGGAATGACTCGGACACCAGATCCCGAGCTTAAGTCGCGAGGCAGATCTTACTTGAGTTTGGGGACAATATGCCATCCCGCACGGGGTGGGTCGACATCGGGTATCGATCGAGCGTTTCTTCCTGCACGCGAGCTCTCCCATCCAGTTGGGGTCGACGGGCTCTGTTCAGGAGCTTACCTTTGCAAACTTTGTCTTCACCAGAACAAGCGCATAAATCAAGAGCTTATGAGTAGGTTGGGCATGTGGAAGGTCTATCAAGGTCTGCGTGCATGACTTATCCCACGGGGAAGCTTGCTGGTAACGATCTGGCTTTTGAGAAATGTAGCGTTACTGCACACCACCAAAAGCCCAACGCCCTCGGCAAGTTCCCGAGCACGCAATGATTTAAGTCAGCGGTCCGTATCGCGAACGCCAGACCCCTTGCACTCACACCCCACTATCCCGAATGGGCAAAATCTGAAGAATATATCCGGTACAACGCGTTAATCGGAACAGCGAGCCAAGTTTCTCTGTGGAAAATTTTTGGATTCACAGCATTTCATATGGGACAACGAGGTATGATACCCGGATGTTCGAGATCCGGGACAGCGGAGTTTAAGCTGCACTCCTAGTGTACTTGTATCATACGATCGACACGTTCCCTGTTCCCTGGACCCGGGAGCTTAATCTATCCCAAATGCCCGCACAACCTATCAAACCCAAGATCCCTGCAGCTTCATTGGCGAATCCTGTGCTCTAAACTGGTGCGCACATCCCAATTCGGACCTAGCCAGTACCGTATCCTAGTCTTGACGGACGCCTTATCCGAAGATATTTCAACCGGCAAGTACCGGTAGCATAGCCAATAATTTGAGCCCCGGCTCCTCGCGGCAGGATTTGCCGGTACCGTGCTGTTGGCGAAAATGGGGTGAGGAGGCCGGACTTGGATGAGAGCCCCGAAACGGACATGGCTTCCCCCATGTACTTGTGTGGTACATGTATCACTTTATCCTCGCTTTTTCGGGATTCTTGCCCGGGAGAAAGTGGCGTAAAATTAAACTTTTGTATCCCTAAACTCTTAAACACACTTGTCGCGACCGGCAAGCGTGGACTTTTTGGCAGGTAACGTTTTCGAGGAGCTCCGATAGTAGATGAATGTATTCGCACGTCGCATCTATCTCTCCCACGGAGACGCTATGCATGCTTCTTTCTTCCTATCTCAGCCGAGGCCTCTTTTGACGTGCTGTCCCCTCGTGTTGCTGAAGGGGGGGTCCAACATCTTAACGTGGTTATCTTCGATTGAGTTCCCACGGTGTTTGGTACCGCAAGAGCAAATCAAGAAAAAGTAGGCTGCGGATATCCGCTGCCATGAGTCCCTCCTCCCTATCCCACTACCCCCCTCCGTGGCCACCCCTGGGAGTGCGCCCAAGCACATCTCAAGTGCTTATCGATGCGTGGTGTGTTATTTATAAAACAGCACAGCAACCCGGGGAGTTGAACAGTATTCATGCCACTTCAGCCGAGGCTGCATCGCGGGGCCCACGCGGATTGCGGAGGCTGTAAAGAGCAACGAGAACACTGCAGCCCGGGGGCTCACTTATCCCGGGCCAGAAGTGCCACGGAACATGGGGGTGCATTTGGATTGGTCCGCGGATAAGCACTTTAATCCCCCATTTTTGTGCACTTTCGGTGTGGGACAAGTGCCAGGGGCGACAAGTGATCGAGCGACAATCCAGGACTAAGTTAGATAGGGAGGAGGTCTCGGTGCCCAGGAAGAGGAGAGATTACTCGGTGCGGTGATGTTGTGTAGGCTACCGTGATTGATTGCCCTTTTACTATTACCCTATGTTGGTGTGGTCGCTGGAGAAATGTTAACCCCCTAGTCTTCCCCCTGAAATGCCAATCTTCGCTGCACACCTATACAACCGAAAAAATTTAGTGAGTCCCTTCCGATGGAGATCTCAACCTAATAAATTCAACTGATTAAATATCAGACTACAGGAATTGTTCCGCGAAACTTAAAGTATTGGGTTTAGAGGGTGGGGTTGAAATGCGTGCCAGGACGACCAATTTGCATTAGGAGGTCAGCATCGTGTCTCTCTGCCAGTATTTAGGATCGCTAATAAAAATTGAAACAATGTTAAAATCCCCTGATAGATTACCCTAGTATTGACAGCGCTTAATACTGTGATACCGTGGGCCCGATTACATGAGACATGAAGAAACGTCAATTCTCTTACTCATTGATTGATGTGAAAAGGAGGAAGAGAGAAAAGGTTGCCTGATAAAATACTGTAAACCACACCATTTTTAGCCTCAGCATCTCAAATTCAATCATTACCCAGAGCACAACAGTCCTGGGGTGTAATTTTCATTGGAAGGGAGGTGTCGCACTTTGCTTTTTCCTGTGTTGTCAGGGCACACGGTCAGTCATCTCTCACATTCCAGCCCCCAAACTCGCTAATCAAGAACGGCATATCTTCCCCGCCCAGTTGATCAACCTCTAGCTTAGAGCAAGCTCAGCGCCCAAATGCCAGGCGTCATCGGGCTGCGCTAGCTCGCCGAATAGTACCCGTCCGGATCTATCTGGTTCTTGTCTCACTCACACTCCCGCCTTCTACGGAATCACGACTCCAAAGTGTAATCAAATGTGCAAATGAGGCTTGTCCGGCAAAAGAGGGATCAGATCGAGTTTACTCCCTTGAATCTCTCCAGATGTGCCATATTTGGGACTCTATAGCCCCGCGACTAATAGGTTGATGCTCATTCGGCTCCTTTGGTAAAGCCCCACCACACCTTCCATGAACTGGTACCGGCGATACTGTACGTTTCGAAAGGGCAGGTATTGCGGAGACTAAGGTTTCGGGGACGAATGGTGGGAGGATATATCTCCCATATAATTAATCTGAGAAAATAGCTAGATTATGGACTGCCCTAGCGCACCATAACCTGGCTCAATTCATTAAAGGCAAGATTTTGTAGCACCTCATTTTGACCCTGGGAGTAGATGGTATGCAATGGAGTCGCTCAGCAGTTACCATGGGAAGAGAAAATCTGTGTCTCTGATAGCTACGCGGTTCGCCCACTTATGCTCTCCTTCTCCACAGAAACAACCGCTACCCCCATTAGCTCTGGTTAACATCCCTGTAATGGCTGCTGGCCTTAGCCCGAACATCAGAGGAATATAGCAAAGCTGAGCAGAGCCAGGCGGCTGACCAGCTCTCGCCAGGATTGAAAAGATAAAAAAAAAACATGGCTTAACTGCGCACAAATCTCCTTCTCGAGACCTCCCACTCCCTGAAGTAACGTGCGACGCACCCGGCCAGCGCACTTGTCGTATCACGAAGGGCGGCCCCCTCCGTCCAAGTATTAAGTTCGGTTGACCTGAGAATTGAGTGTTCATTCCCATTTATAATAACCTAGCTATGGTAGCATGAAAGAGCCTCTCCGTTAGATTTCTCAACCCATTGACCCCCTCTCTGGTTGCCCTCCTGATATTCTTCAGTATTCTGGTTTTCTTGGATTCCGTTCCCGCGGGTCCCTGGGATGTTGAAATCAGTCTTCTTACTCGCCATAGCGGCACACATGGGCAAAGCTCACCCTGACCCCAACCGTCCGAGTATAACCCACCTCCTCCCTCGTCAGAACACGGCAACCGCTACGGCATTCCGTCCTCCATTTACCACCCAAGTTGGCAGCTGCGCATCTCGAGGCTGGGCCCCATGTGGTAACGCCTGCGCTGATGTCGCGAATGGGGCAACATGTTGTGACAGCAGCGCTAGTTATAGTATGTTACGTACTCCCTAGGTTCAATGTGTAGCGATTAACGGCCCTAGGGTGTATATCGGGAACCTACTGTCTCTTCGACGGTCTCTGCTGCCCCAACGAAGTGGATCCCGAAACATGCGTCCGTAATAGCGGTCTTGAACTTCCCCCCAACTTCTCCAGGCCTTCCCTATTCCCGTCCCCTACCCAAGCATTGTCGGGCTCCAGCAAGAATAAAAAGTCAGAGCCCTCCACATTCCCTACGGTCAACGAAGATGCTGTCGCTCCAAAAGAAGCAGCGCCAGTCACCACCACCTACGGCCCCATCACAGCCACCATCGGCAACAACCCAGTGACCTTGGCCTTCTCCGGGGAAGTTCTCCCGCTTCAAACCGCAGCCAATCACAAGCCAGTCTCCAGCAAGTTTAAAGACGCCGTACTTGCAGCCCTGGCAAAGGACCCTGCTACTAAAGCATTCGGTGACCTTCTGACGCAAGCACCATCTGTCTTTGAGGGTCTCGAGGAAAAAAAGGAATACTACCTCTTCGCACCAACAACTCAATTTGTTGTGGACTTCCTCAAGCGCTTGCGAGAAAATCCACCCCGGTTGGCCCTCCGAAAAGTGCTCGTCGACCCCAACACGAGCCAACAATTCGCGGAGAAGCCCAAGGGCGCTCCGGATATCAAGCGCGTGTCGAGCACCCTCGAGACGACTCTAGTGGGCGAAACCAAATATGTGGACCTCGGCGAGGGCGAAGGCGCTCGCGTGGTCTCGAATCCGATAACGAGTGAGAACGGTTCCGTCCACATCATCTCCGGATTCGGGCATTCGACGTTGGTGCAGGCGGATGAGATACCCTTTGAGGGTGGTGTCATCAAGAAGTGCGACGGGTAAGCACCCCGTTCCTCCCACCCCGGTGCAGTAGCAGCAGCAGCAGCTACCGGTACTAACACTGCCAAAGCTTTTTCACCCTCCCACACGCGCTTGAAACCGTCTTTGCCAACACCAGCGGCCGATTATGGTCCACGGCATTGCAGAAGGCGAATATGTTGACACAGCTATCGGAGAAGCGAATGGTGACAATATTCGCCGTTGAGGACTCCTCCCTGGATGAGGCAAATCTGCCCGGATTGGCCGATCTGGGCCGACTCATCTACGACGGCCTCTCATACACGCCAGACCTGAGTGATCAGCTCTGCTTGCAGACGAGGGATGGCGGCTCGGTGCGCATCACCACAAAAGGCAATGACAGACTCGTCAACGGCGTCCGGATCTCCACGTCCAATGTCATCGCCAAGAATGGTGTCATTCATTATCTAGAGAAGGTACGTTACGCATTCCCTACTCCTGCACAAACCCCTTACTAAGTGGAGTTTAGATTCCTCCGGCCGATAAATGCTCAGGCGCTGGAGGGGAAGTTACCAAAAAGTCTGCCGGCTCAACCGTAGCCGTTTCTATGATAGCCGTCCTTGGCCTATCGGCAGCCAGCCTTGCCGTATATTTGGGCGTGTAAAGCTCTGGGCCGATTATGGAGGTGATTGTGTCGATAAGGATGATTACCCTCTAGATTTATGATAGCCGAATTTGGGGAACGGCCGTGGTTGTGCCGCCAGCGGCATGACTAGTGAACTTCCAGGAAAAAGCCAGGCAGGGGGAGTGCGGAATTAGTTGTAATTGAGGGGGAAGTTTAGCCGCTATAGTGATTCTTTTGGCAATATGATACATTGAACTACTAGCAACCTATATTGCATTGATGTCCTTTCAGCTATCGGCATAGGACTGGCACTGATGATAATGGTACTATCGGATGTGAGCCAGCAGGTCACACACAGTACAGTTCTGCTCAAGTAGCTTTACTACCGTCCCACGGCCGCCCGACTAGTCGATTGGAGCTAGTAGGCTCCGGTAAGCAACAAACCCTTTCAGCGGCCTGTACCCGGCACAACGAGCGGGATACAATTATTGCTTGTACTCCAGAATCTACCCTTGCTACCTGGTCTAACATCCATATATCTATGGGTCCCATGATAACCATTTCTTCAAGAATTAGCATTCCCTCCAAGTGGCGCTTGCTCCCCATGGTGTTTTTATTCACCCAATAATTTTATCAAGAATCACCGGCACTCACTTGCCCAAGGCGAAGTTTGGATTTGTCAGATAGAACCTTACCGCTCATCCGCCGTACCCCCTTCCAGAGACGGAGGGTGGTGGTTCTATCTGCGAGTTAATGTGTGGCTCATAACTGTTAGAAGGGTTTGGACTAGAGAGTGCAGGAAATTAAGGAGCAGTTCCTAATAGCGATCATATTTCGTGCGTAAACTCCCCATATATGTTTTCATCGGTCCGCGATTACCGTGCATGTACAGGAGGCAGGGGACCCACCCCAGGCGGGCAAGAATACAAAAAGGTATAATGGTAGTTTACCGACAACCTTGCTGCGTCGCCCAGGCTGTGCTTTTTTTTTCACGAGGACAGCGATTTAAAATGGTGGGGATCCTGGGGGAGTTGGAATTATTTGCTCTATAGGTATCTGGCTTCGAACCTGCGGCAGGATGACCAGTGTTTAAAGGTCTCCAGTGATGCCTAAAAGTGAGGTGGGACGTCGGCCTTCCAGGACCTGCCTTTCGGGGGTCCTGGCTTTATTTACCTGACATGGGAGAGTCGGGGGCCGCCCCACATAAATCACGTTGTGAGTGTATGCCGGGTCAATTGATAACAGATATTCTCGGATATCTATAGGAAGCTACAAATACACTTATTCTGCGAGTTCGGGCTTAAGTAATAACCGGCGTGGAAATCAAAGGCGCCCTGATAAGTTTACCGCCTTGAAAGAAGTCAATATAGTGGAAGGATTCCCCACCACGATACATATATTTATTCCCAGAATGTGGACAACCTACTGACGCATCATCAACCATGGTTTGATTGCCAAGATATCTCTTCCACCGCTTGAGTGCGATTGCACACTCTAACCTCTTCCCTCAATGACCATATTTGAATTTTAGTTCGTGTCAATCATTCTGGGCATTATCCTGTGACTGCGTAAGTCCTCCACCCATGTATAAGCCTCTCCACAGGGATCGCTTTCTTCTCTCTTTCACCCCATCATATATCAACAACACAAACCTCTGATAGCTCTACAACTCCGAACTCTCATTTGTTGATGTGCCTATTGGGCAGGTGGGTGTTCGGGCTTCCCGTTAGCATTGTTACTAGTTGCCATAGGGCATCTGACATAGGGATTGGTTTCTTTCGCACCTTATGCTTCTAGGCATATTGTTTTTTATTGGAGGTTTATGAGAGTTCTTGGTTATTGGGCAGCACGGAGGATCATGACTTGTCAGGATGGTGTTGTTATTTTGTGTTCGGATGTTTCTATAGAGTTTCAGAATTATTGTTGGTTTGGTGATATATGGCTCCCATTCTGTTTCTAGCTAGTGACGGAGGAGACGATCACCGATCATCGATCTTCCATTCTTTAACCATCCTTCCTCACTTTCTTGCATCTTGCGTCTATCATTATCGCCCCCGTGTTACTTCATTCGTTCATGCTCTCCATCCACCCCTATCATTACCCCGGTTTGCTTAATCACGTTTCTCTCCCGGGGAACTGTTGAACAGTCACTTCTCCACTATATGGCTCGCCAAGCACTCTTCATCCTAATTATCCTATACCGCAAACTGTGTCTTATTTCTGCGGCGCTGACCTCCGGGTACCGCTCCTTTGGAGACCGGCGAGTATGCTGAGAGCCCTGCCTAAACAGGTTGTACTCGGGGTGTGAGACAGATATGAGTGTTCGCTCTTGACATGCACCACGTTCTGCGCCTAGGACTCTTTTGACCCCCACATAAATGAGTTATAGCGATGAGGACTCAAATTGTGCTAGTATAGCCATGGATATGCAGCGCCCGCTGGAGTATGCTACAGTATTCCAATCAATCGAGGCTGATAAGTACACGTCCGGAAAACTACCTGAGCGCAGAGTAGTTATTTTCAGCCACCCACTGGGTGAAGGAGTCTCCAGGAGTCCACGGTCCGGCCAGGCACTGCGAAATGTGCCCTAGAAGCCTGAACTTACCCCATAGCACTGCCCAGCCGAACATTTGTGCCGACGCCCAATAACACCTACCCAGATAGTGTATATATATCCCAGGAAACGCTTACTATAGGATTGGGAAGCCCTGACCCCCCTAATCGCGTGCGTGATTCGCCCTAAATACCCGCAATTGCCACTTCCCGACACCTCCGGGTCCTATGGTAGTCTCACCCCGCGGAGGGATTGCTTTAATTAGGCGATCAATCCCATCCTGTTCAACCCCCCCCCACCCACACACACACCCAAACGCTGTCAACACAATGCTAACCATCAATCCCGGATAAACACGTTAGCGATATCCCGAAGTTACATCTGACTATTCCCTTGAATCGTGAGTACAACCAACTCTCTGATCTCCTGTGTTATCACTAATAGTCGCCCAGAAGGAAGAAATCCCCAGCGCTGACACGGCCCGACACTTGTGCTTGCTTGACAACTTCATGTATGTGGCCCTGGATACCTTGTTTTCTCTGCAAGTTTCTGAGACTGATTTAGGATGTTGATGATTATTATGGTAATGAAGAGTGCCTACTTCCACATCCTCCTGTTCTCGCTTCTCGAGAGAATACCCTAGGGTGCCAAGACTTACTTAATCTGACGATACGGGGTTAGCTGAAGATTTAAGTATCATAAATTGTCACTCGCCCTTCTATAGTCATGGGGAGTCATTCGGTCCAGTGATGACATGCACGGACCCGCCAAATGAGCTGCTCCAGTATGGTTTCTGATTGGCAGACCCCGGATTCCCTTGATGCCCATGTTATAAAATTTAACTTCCCAAAAGATTCCCCTTGACGGTGTTCACTGTCTTCTGCTCCATGTTGACCCGATTCGGTGGTGGTGTTTTCCACCAATTAGACCGAGAGTCTTTGTGTTAGCCCCCGGTTGAGTCCGAGAAGAAGAATAGGAGGAAATTCCATACCCCAAGTTGTGCTAGGTCATCCTCCGAACCGATCGAGCGCAATACGGTTTTCCATGATGAGCCGCCATCTCAGGCAAAGCCGCTATGACGGGGGTAAAATTTTATCGATGACGGGGATCAATCGGGAGAGGGTAAGCAGAATTACCATCGCCTCATATTGAAACAAATTTTGACCTCCCCAACACCAAGACACATCCACCTTTGAAATAATATTCCTACTATCAAATCATACCTCCCAACAGTATTTCAGCCTTGTTAGGAGATACACAAGCACATGCCCAAGGGACCACAGGGGAAGTATGATTGCGGATAACCTGGCGTCAATGCAACGACCCTGGCGCTGTACCTAGATCAAAAAATGGACTTTTTGGGGGGGAAGGGTGAAACGGGGGTCCCCCATGGCATCCCACCCCTCAGGGAAAAAAGGCAGTTCCCCTGTCCGACACTTTCCCACCCCACCCTGTGCAACCGCCGCAGAGTCGCGTTAGGACATATACGAAGATGTCCTGCTAGTGTCCCGGCTCTGGTTAACACAGGGATGAACAGCGCAGATCCAACCCAGGTGAGTGCTGGCGCCAAGAAAACCCCGATTTAGCTCTACACCGGGAGGGCGAAATAGGTCTATATAGAGAGGGGTGATTGAGTAGTCTACCCGAGCGCTTCAACATTCGACCCGTGGGATCACCTATATATCCTGTTCCTATTACCCCTTCCATTACACCCCCCACTACTCACCCAAGTGTAACGTAAGGGTGCCTTTCTGGTTACCGGGGCGTACCCGAGGCCCACCGCAGTCTGGACGAATTAGAGCCCAAAGTAGAAACTCCGGAGCGTAGAAAATTACCCGAGTGATTGATCATGTCTGCTCAATAATTTCAAACATGTCCTGACACTACGGTGCCGGGGATCTGCTCTCTCTAGTGGGCCTTTGCATTGAAACAACCTAATACCCAGGCAATTTGTGAGCGCCGTAGTGATTTGGATAAAGTAGGGGGGGGGGGGGTACGGGGGAGCAAGAACACTAAAAAAAAGTGAAGAGGAAATGCTGGAAAGTGAGGGAGATTGAAATAGATGGATAGGTAAACTAGCCGAACAACTGGGTGATCCGATTGCCAGTGTGATAGGTAGGTGTGGAACAGTAGGTCCGAGACCAGACCAGTCCGACCATTAATGCAAGAGGCACTCCGTAGCAAACGAACGAACGAAACCCAAAAGCATAGGCTAAGGAGGTCAGGAGGAATTGTGTTCCCATAGGAGAGTTTTCGAATTGATGAGATGCAACCCAAGCAGATTTAAATTGCCGGAAAATTCTGAGTCTTCAAGAGTCTTTCGACGGTTACAGGGACCAACTGGAACTAGCACATTTATTAGCCTAATTCCTATGACCCATACAAAGGGCAAACTAGTCCCAGCTCTTTTCCTGGAGACATGAGCATAGTACAGTCCAGTACCTTCCTCCGTATCTCCAGGAGTGCCACCCTAATACGCCATGAG